AGAGATGTTTAATAAATCAAATATCGCCTTACACACGGGGACCTTACACTCCTATAAATTAGGGGACAAAACTAGGTGACAGGCTATGGTAATTGGCTTCGCTGTCCATTGTTATATTTTTCCTATCCAGAGAGTTGTTATTCCAATCATAAAATACAATGACTGCACATAATGATATTGTCAAGAAGGAGAGACGGGAGCCATTTGAATATATTTGAGGAAGATTTAGTTGGTCTGCCTGCCAAGCCATAACACACAGCATTCTTTATAGCTTTATTAAATGCTGTACCTCCAGTTTGCTGTACTGCTTCCATGGGTGGAGCATCCTAAATACAGAGCAGCTGCTGCATGAATTTTCTCCAAAAGTAATTTGCACAATCATATATATTCTGTCACAGCAGTCGAACATTGTCATGCCACCTTTCTTAAAGGGATAGTTCACCCAAAAATGAAAATTAGCCCTTTATTTACTCACCCTGGGTCGCTGTTTGACAGTATTATTCCTGCTTCCTGTTTGCAGTGCTGCTGGTTTGTGATTGTAGCTTCGTGTAGCTGTTTTTCTGTAAAATCTCTATTAGGGGAGCGCGGGGCACAAAGTAACGCGGGGTAAATAGTAACACAGCCTTTTAGATAGTTGCACAGGGTTAAACATGACGTACTTCCGGGCTTTTCACCACAGTGTTTGCGCACGTCTTCCCGCCATCTTTCGAGAAAGTTCAGCAAAGTTTGGATGAGAACCACAGGAGAAACTCTTTTGGCAGCATGTAAGTATTTTTTGGTATAATAGTTGTTTTTCGATTTTCGAAGAATGTGTGAAAGTATGTTAGTCCAATCTTATATTGTTGTGATTACCATCTTCTTGGCTAAAAGATGGTACCATTTTGAAAGATGTGAAAAACACATAGTGACTGCTAGCCGGTCGGCATCTGCCATGTAACTCTACACCGCTTTGTCGTTCGTAAACGAAAACTGCAGGAGCAGCATCAGGGTAAAAATTCACCACTACCTCCAGTGGGCTACTGGCCACACAGAAAGGTCTTCACATCAGAGCAGGAGGAGCAGCTTGTTGCTTATTTGACCCATGCAATATGTTATGGGCTGAGCCCCAAGGAGGTAAGCTGGTTAAGCTAGGATAAGTTAGGAAATAAGAATAAGATAAGAAGAATTATTGCTCTATTCGTACATTCAAGTGCCTGTTTCTGTTATAAATGGTAGGTCAATTTGTTTGAATGCTTAACATGAATTAATGTGTGAATAGGCCTACACACACATAGATGCACACATAAATACATACATAGACTATATACATGCACACGTACGTATACATATATACACTACCAGTACCAAAATATTTTTAATGTGTTTTTAAAGAATTCTCTTCTGTTCGCCAAGCCTGCATTTATTTGATCCAAAATACAAGAAAATTGTGAAATATTTTTACTATTTAAAATAGCTGCTTTCTATTTGAATATTTTTAAAAATAGAATTTATTCCCATTATCAAATGTAAATTTTCACTTTTTACTGGTAGTGTGTATACAGTTTATACACAATTAAGACATTTTAGGATGCCTTGTGTGATGTATGTAAAAGCAATTAATCTAGTTGACATTATTTTTTTTTTCCTGTTTTATGTTTCTGTTTTTCAGGTCAGAAAACTTGCATTCCAATGTGCTGTCCAGTTCCACTGCACATTCCCAGAATCCTGGTCTAAAACGCAAATGGCGGGCAAAGACTGGTTCACTGCTTTCCTCAAAAGGAACCGATCTCTTTCGATCAGAAAACCACAGGCCACCAGTGTGGCGAGAGCCACTAGTTTTAATGCTCACACTGTGGGAATTTTTTTCAACAATTTACACACTGTCTACAATATGCACAATTTTACCCCAAATGATATATGGAACATGGATGAAACTGGTGTGACCACAGTGCAGGCCCCAGAGAAGATAATAGCCACAAAAGGAATACGCCAGATTGGAGCAATGACCTCTGGAGAAAGGGGTAAGCTAGTGACCGTTCCAGTGGCCATTAATGCCCTGGGGAATTCGATCCCTCCATTTTTTGTTTTTCCCCGCAAACGATTTTACTCTCACTTCATCCATGAAGGGCCACCTGCATCAGCTGGAGCAGCAAATGGGTCTGGTTGGATGCAGGCAGAGGAATTTTTGCAGTTCCTCCTCCACTTTGCCAACCATACGAAGCCCTCACTGGACTCCAAGGTACTTCTCTTACTGGACAATCACGTGTCCCACCTGTCTGTCCCAGCCATGGATTTCTGTAGGGAACGGGGCATCGTTCTACTTACTTTTCCGCCACACTGCACTCATAAGCTCTGTCCCCTGGACAGAACAGTTTTTCGCTCTTTCAAAGGGAGGGTCAACACGCACCTGGACCACTGGATGAAAGCTCACCCTGGCCAGAACGCCACAATATACGACCTCCCTGGGATTGTTGCAAAAGCGTTGCCACAGGCAGCAACGCCTGAGAACATCATGTCAGGTTTCAGGTACCTATCTATTAGAAAAAAAAAATCCTTAATGTACTTCAGGATGAATAAATTATCTGTCTATCTATCTAGGTGCACTGGCATCTGGCCCTACAGCCCTGATGTGTTTGGAGAAAATGACTTTGCTCCTGCATATGCAACCGACAGACCAGAGCCAACTACATCCTCTGCAGGTTCTGCCACACTCCACCAGGACTCCTCCGCTCTCCACCAGGGCTCCTCCGCTCTCCACCAGGGCTCCTCCGCTCTCCACCAGGGCTCCTCCGCTCTCCACCAGGGCTCCTCCGCTCTCCACCAGGGCTCCTCCGCTCTCCACCAGGGCTCCTCCGCTCTCCACCAGGGCTCCTC